TATTTAAAAGGATATTATATAATCTACGTAGATATATAATATCTATAAAATATACTTATAGTGCTTATAAGTAAGTAGTATTTATAAATTATTTTTAAATTCTCCTTATAGTTACTATTCTTATTATAGAGCTATAAAGGTATTAACTATAGTAATAGCTATAATATAGTCTTCTCTATATAGTACTAGTTAATATTAAATTAATATAGCTTATTATTTTTCTATAAGAATTTAAGGTATTTATTAAGTTTTAATTTTAAGTATTTCTTTAAATTCTTTAAAGTATAAAGTATATTCTTTAATTATAGTATTTTCCATTAATAGTAAGGGTAGTAATATAAGTTCGTTCTTATCTTTTATTTCTTTAAGTATTTCTAATTCTTTAAAGCTTATATTATTAATACTTTATTATTCCTTTTTAAGTTATTACCTAAGTTTTATAAGTATAAAAGCTATATCTATATCTTCTTTATTATATTACTTATAGACTACTTATTATTATTTTCGATTTTTATTTTATATATCTTCTTAGAATTATTTACTGTTTTTCCTAATTTAGTCTTAAGAGACTCCTTTAAGATAAAGGTATTTTAGTTCTATAAATTTAACTTATTTTTATATTTTAAGATCCCTTTATTATATTATTATAAGGGTTTTCTTTAGTAGCTTTAAGAACTATTTAATACTATTCTTATCGCTTAAGTATACTATATATTTATCGTTATAATATATAGTTTAACTAAGGAGTTTATACTTTAGTTCCTATCTATTAATAGCGTTTAAGTATTTCTTACTTTTAAGGCTAGTACTTAATATATTTTCTTCTCCTTATAAGGTTATCTATATTCTTTAAAGTAATATTTAAGTTTCTTATAGTTAAAATACTTTCCTTTACTTTTCTATATTATATTTAAGTCTATCTTACCTAGGTTAGTTATATAAGTATAGGTAATAGGAGTTTCGCGCTTCTTTTTAAAGTTAGTATATTAGTTAAAGTTATTCTTATAAGAAGGGTTTTAGTTTCCTCTTTTTTATTTATTTTCTTAGCGTTATATATACTATCTATTATCGATTTATACTACTATAGTAATATAATCTAAGAGGTTATTAAGTCGATTTACCTTATAAAGCTTATTCTTAACTTCTTTTTTAAGCTTATTATAGAATCGTAATATAAAAGGTTCGTTATCTTAATTAAGTTTTAAGGTAACTTAATAGAACTTTATAGTATAATCTAATACTAAGATCCTTTATTAAAGTTCTTAAAGCTTTTATTTAGCCTTTTATTCCTTATTAGTTATTTTAAATACCTTTATAATAGCTTCTTTAAATCCTTAGAAACTAATAAAGACTTTATCTATCTCGTTATCTTATCGCGCTAGTTAGTTATCGAGAAAGTCCCTTATAATAGGTCTAAACTAAGTAAGTACTATTCTAAATAAATAATTTCCTATATAGAGTACCTTTTCGACTAGGTCTAAGAGTTTAGTAGGTAAAACTAATAATAGGCCTTAAGTTAAGTGAAAAAGTCTTAAAGCGTACTATAAGTACTATTAAATAGTCTTAGCTATTTTAATTTAACTACTTCTTTAAGGTCCTTAACTTATTTATTACCTCCTCTATTTTTAAGTAACTATACCTTATATTAAAGGGTAATAATCTCGCGTATTATATCCTAAGGCAATATAATAGCTCTAGAGTTAGTTAATCTAGTTTACTATATAGGTATTTTAATAGTAGCTACGGTATATACCTAAAGATATACCTACGCTAACGGTAATAGTAGTAGCTAAATACTAAAGGATAAGGGGGTCTAAGGGGAACGAAGGAAAAGAGAAAGTACTAAGTAGGGTAAGGTAAAAGTAAAGAGGGCTAAAAGGTATATTAGTAAAGAGAAGAAGAAGAAAGAAAAAGATAATAATAAAGGAAGATACTATCTATTAGCTAAAGAGGAAAAGAGCCTCTTTTATAGACCAAATTTCCTCCTTCTTCCTAAATAAATAGGGTAAAGGATTATCTAATTAAGAAGAAGGCTAGCTAGAGACTTTACTAAGGATCCTACTAAAGACCTATTAAAGACCCTACTAAAGACTCTACTATACGGCTATATATATTCCTTAGGGTAGAGTCCCCGTTAAAGTATATTAATAGTTATAATATTACTTAGAGTAATATAGTATTATATTAAATAAGAGCTATTAATATATAACGACTAGTATTATTCTTGAGATAAACCTATCGAGGGTTTATATTAATAAATATAATAAGGCGTAGTCTAAGTAATAATAAGTATATTACGTTAGTAATAAATTAAAGGTTATAGACTATGACTATAACTAAGTAATTAAGTAATTAAATTAAAGATATAATTATAATAAAGATCGTAATAATTATAATATTAAAAGCTAGAAAGCTATCTATTTAAAAGAGTAAAAGTAAGTAGCTATATATACTTATAAAGACTATCCTTAGATTATAGGCCTTACTATAATCCTAACGTTAGATTATATAGAGTATAGTAATCTCGTTAATCTTAGATTACTTAGATCTTTATAATCCCCGAATAGTATATCTATTAAATAGTCCTACCGACTATTTATCCGTTAGACCGTATTATATACTTAACGCGGTCGACCGTTAGTAACCTAGTAGCCGTAGTCGTAATAAGGTAGTAGAGTTAATAGCTAAGAAGCTAGGCAGCGGGTAGCGTAAAGTAGCGGGCGCGAATAAAGCGGCGGGGGCTCTTATAAAGAGAGATATAAGAAGTATATATAAAATATATAAAGGGAAAAGTAAAAGTAAGGGGGCGGATATATAAGGCAGAGATATTTAAATCTTATAGGGTAGTAATTATAGTAAGGGTAATTATTTTATTACCTTAATTATCCTTCTTTCCTTTTATACTAAGTGTTTTTACTATTAGGTCCCTCTTACTATAGGATATTTCTAAGAACTATAAAATTCAGCTATACTTCGCGATATACCCCTTAGCTATAGCTTGCCCTTATAGAAAGGTAAGTAAAATAATTAGGCATTAGCGTATAAAGGAGGTCTTAGTCAATACATCACTTAAGAAATCGGGTTTAACCCTAGGCTCTTTTAGACCTACTTTAAGAAAAGGGGCCTAAGGAGAAATTAAGTCCTATAAAGGGGCTTCTCTAGAATAAATACTTAAAGGGCCTTTAAGAAGAATAAGTCTTAATTAAGCTAGGGGTGTGACGACTGGTGATATTCCCAAGGGATAAACCTGTCGAGGGTTTATGTTGGCAGATACAACAGGGCGTGGTCTGAGCAATGATAAGTATGTCACGTTGGTGATGAGTCGGAGGTCGTAGACCGTAGACTGTAACCAGGTAATCAAGTGATCGGAATCAGAGATGAGATCGTGATAGGGATCGTAATGATTGTGTTGAAAGCTAAGGCTATCTAGTCTAAAGGAGTGAAATGGGGCAGCTATATACCCAACTGCCCGTCTCTGATCGCGAGGTGCTGGAGGTGATCACAGAGGTGACCTTGATCGATGAACGATCCGTCGAGCACCGCTCGCTTGATCGTAAGGCGATCCACCGATCACCTTTCGCATGGTCACGTGATCCTTCAGCGGTTAGTCATCCCTGGCCCGTGTCATGGCCATCCGTTGGTCGGGTCGTAACATCCGTTGGTCGGGTCGTAACATCAGGTCTCCCCCTCCCTTGGTCTTGCCCTCAAGACCTGCTTTGCCGCCGTGTCGCATATCCTGGTCATTTCCTGCGTGAGTGTGTGCCGTTCCCTTTCTTCTTCCTTCATCATGGTCCGTCATGCCGTCTGACCGTGTTTCCAAGAAAAGGGCCAAGGCCTCGTCGTCCATCCGTTGTGGTGTCCTGCTTTCCACGATCCTTTCGAATCCCGACATTCTTACGATGCCTTCTTGCTCGGCTTGCGAGCGTCGCGGACTCCGGAATGCCAGGTGTCGTCGTCGGATTCTGATCGCTGTGTCGAATGCGTGCGCCTTCACCTTCCCGCTGCGACGTCAAGGGGTATCGCCGGCACAGCTTCAAATATTGCAAATCAACACATCATCAGCTCGAACGCGAGCTTGAGGAGCCGAAAGGTTCTGCGCCTTCGAAAACAAATTATGGTTTGAAAAGATGATGCGGGCGGTCTCCCGTGGGATCGATAACGTTGAGGAGCTGGAACGTGTCGAGAAAGAGGCGGAGAAGGAGCGGCAACGAGTGGAGGAGGCGCGGCCTTCCCCTCACGACGATCGGTTACCCTCGGACTTCGTCGAGGTTGGGATTCCTTGTACTCCCAGGTGTCGTTGTCTCCTTCTGTCTTAGCCCAATTTGGGTTGCTCGGGGATTCGTCGGCGCCGGAAAATCCCATTTCGTCAGGAGGTTGATCTTTGTTGATTGAATTGTCGGAGAAGCGAACCACAATGGGTCAGGTGCTTGGTGGGTTCCCATGTGTTTTCCTCAGGTCCGTATCCTTTCCATTTTACAAGGTATTCCTGTTGCTGACCTTGTTTTCTTGTGTCAGTATTTGTTCTGCTTCGTATTCTTGATCGTCGTCGACTTCGATTTTTCCTGTGGTTTGGCGTTTCGTGGTGCTGGTTCCAATAATAAGATATAAAATATTAGGTGTATCCGCATTGTTGTTGGTAGCGAAAGTTCGTAGTTGACTTTTGAAATGGTTTTCTTGACTTTGAACGGTCCAAGTTTCTTGAAATCAATTTGTTGCTTGGTCGTTTTGTTTTGATGTTTCGTCGTACGAGGTAGACCATGTCTCCCTCTTGAAAGATTGGTCCCTGCAATCTTTTCCGATTGTAGTGAGTGGACATTCGTTCTCTGACGAATTGAAGTTCTTGTTGCATTTCTTTATGCAATTTTCGTAGCTGATCTGCTTGCAGTATCGCTCGTTCCGCTTGTGGTCCTTGTCAGTGACCTTGAATGCTTCTGGGTTGTATCCGTAATTGGCGTATGCTGGTGAGAGCTTGGTTGTCTCTGTGACTGAGCTGTTGTAAGCTAGTTGTGCCGTCGGTAGCCATTAACCCAATCGTTTTGTTCGTAGCTGATGTAGCATCGTAAATATTGTTCAAGCGTTTGGTTGAGTCGTTCTGTTTGTCCATCTGTTTGTGGGTGATAAGCTGTGCTGAGCTTATGTTTCGTTCCTAATTGTGCCATGAGAGCTTGCCAAAACTTGGCCACAAATGTGCTTCCTCTGTCAGAGACAATCTCGTTCGGTAGTCCGTGATTGCTGACAATAGTTCGTAGGAACACATATGCTAGCTCTTCTGCGTTGCTTGCTTCTTTGTACGGTAAGAAGTATCCGTACTTCGTCAATCTGTCGGTAATGACGAATATGCTGTCGTACTTGACGTTGGTCATGGGTTCTTTTGACGGTGGTAGCTTTGTGATATGGTCGAAAGCTATCGAGTCCCATGGTTTCTTTGGTACTGGTAACGGTTGCAATTCTCCGTATGGCTTGTGTCGTTCAGCTTTGCTTCGTGCGCAAAGTTCGCATTTTCTGATAGTTTCGCTGATTCGTTTCTTCATCCGTGGAAAGTCGTAGATTCGTCGAATTCTTTCCATCGTCCTCGGATTCCTTGGTGTCCGTGTGTCGGGTGTTCGTGAATTTCGCGTATAACTTCGTCCTGAAGTTCTTCTGGTACAAAGATCTTTCCTTGATGCTTTGCCAGGCCATCTTCCCAAACAACTGGAAGTGGTTCCCAATCAACCTTATCGTAGGCTTGTTGGATCTTCTTCGTAAGGCCTTCGTCTGGATTGACCTTGAAGATTGCGTTAAGCTGTCGTTGTTGCATATTCCCTTCATTGTTGAGCTCAAGGAGTTGTCCTTTCACAATAGGTGCTCCTGTGTCGTAGTCGGATCGTCGGCTGAGGCATCAGCTCGACCGTTTTCTGTTCCTTTTCTGTGGATTATTTCGTAGTCGAATTCTGATAGACATTCGGCCCATCGGATCTGTCGTCCGTTCAATTGTTGCGTCGTCGCGAAATGTGAGATGTTTTTGTGATCTGTGTAGACCTTGATTTTGTGTTTGCTTCCGAGAAGGTAGTGTCGAAATTCCTTAAAAGCTTGAATGATTGCGAGGAATTCTTTGTCGTAGATGGGGTAATTGAGTTCTGCGCCATGTAGCTTTTTCGAGTAGAATGCAATTGGTCGTAGTCTTCCTTCATCGTCCTTCTGTCCGATTTGTGCTCCTAGAGCAAAGTCTGATGCATCGGTTTCGAGTTCGATTTGTCGTTCTGGATCGAAGGTGGTTAAGACCGGTTCTTGCGTAATCGTCGTTTTGATGCATTCAAAGCTTCGTTGGCTTTGTCGTCCCATGTAAACTCTTTTTCCTTCTTCGTTAAGTCGTGTAGTGGTGTTGCAATCTTTCCGAAATCTTTGATGAATCGTCGGTAGTAATTCGCAAATCCTAGAAACTTTGTACGTCCTTGACGTTCTTTGGCGTTAGCCATTCTTTGACTGAGTTGATCTTGTCTTGTTGCATTCGTATCTCTCCTGGTGAGATCGTGTGTCGAAATCTACTTCCTGTGTGTGGAACTTGCTTTTTTCTGGTTCAACCAGTAACTTCGCATTCTGAAGTGCGCGGAGTACCTTGTGGACGTGTTCCTTGTGTTCTTCTAGGGTGTCCGAGAAGATTAGGATATCATCCAGGTATACTACCACAAAGATGTCAAGTGTTCGCGTAGGACATTGTTGATCATCCGTTGGAAGGTAGCTGGTGCATTTGTGAGTCCAAATGGCATTACCAGATATTCGAATAGTCCGAATTTCGTTCTGAAAGCTGTCATCCATTCGTGTCCCTTCTTCATGCGTATTAAGTTGTAGGCGCCTTTGAGATCGAGGGCTGTAAACCATTTTTTGCCGTGCAGTCGATCTCGTAGTTCCGATATAAGCGGTAATGGTGTTCGGTCCTTCATTGTAATATCGTTTAGGCGTCTGTAGTCGACAACTAGTCGTAGCTTGCCGTTTTCTTTGGAACAAACATGACTGGGTAGCCTGCTTCGGATGTTGATGTTCGTATGTATCCCTTTCGTAGATTCTCGTCGAGGTAGTCGCGTAGCGTTTGCAGTTGCTTTTCGTTTAGGTTGTAAATCTTATGGAACGTCGGCGTTCTTCCATCTTTGAGACAAATTTCGTGGTCCCATTGACTGTGTTTAGGTAACCCTGTCTCGAGTTCTTCCTTGAAGAGTTTGTCGTATTTCCGGTATTCCTGTGGGATGTTCTTCATTCTGTCTTGTGGGCTTTGTTCTTTCTTTTGAGCTGGTTTCCCTTGACTCGAGCTCTTTGTTGATTTGTTCGAGGTCTTTCCTTAGAGTGGCAATAACTCTTGGATCTTCTTGTTGTGTCCTTTGTTCTGTTTATGTCGGATGCCAGGTTGTACAGCCGTGTTGGTCAGTACGTGGGTCTTGTCAGTCGATTTTGTTGTGTCCGCCGGTTCGGTTGCTGTTTTCGTTTGTATCGCTGAAGCCCGTAATAATTTACTTAAACGGTTATCCTTTCGTCCTGTTCAGTGGCTAAATCATCGCAAAATTTTGCTTTCTCCCAAATCTGCTGGTCTTGAAACTTGCGTCTTCGTTCCAACGCAGCTGGCCAGTTTTCCAGTTGATCAGTGGGTTGCTCTCCTGTAACCATGGAAGCCTAACACAAGGTCGTGTTCTCCAATGTCCATGATGTCGAAGTCGACTCGTTCGTCGTGGCCCTGGATATTGATGTCGAGGTGATCAATCTCCATATCAATGATTCCGTTGTTATAGTTGAAGGCCTCTCCTTCGATATTCGTGAGTTCATATGGATCTTTCTTGTGTCTCCATGGAGTCGGTAACGATTGATGACTCTAGGTGAAACGTAATTGCCCATCGCGCCGCAATCCAATAGTGCGTGTACGTGATGTCCCGCGATTTGGATGTCAATACCATTTGGTTGCCATGGCTTGCCGTTGCCATGCATAGGGTCCTTGGATCTTGTCGTGTCGTGCCAGTCTGTAGCCCTTTTACAGATGGCGTACCTCGTTTTGCCTGGTCCTTATTCGTTTCATTTGGGTATTCTTCTTCGATTTGTTGTTGATATCGTTTCTTTATGTTTTCGTCGCGTGGTGTCGTGTCGGGGCTCAGAGACTGATTTCTTGTAGCCAATCGAAGATTTCTTGTTTCTCAACGCTGTGTTGTTTGCATTGTGCTTCGCAGTTGATTGCGTACCGTGCTTCGCAATTCTGTTCGTTTTCGTACCAGGAATCGAGTTTTCGTTCTGCGTCTTTCTGTTTTGCGCGTAGTTCTTCTGCGTTAATTTTCCTTGGTCGAATGTAGCTTGTAGCCTTCGTAGGTGTCGCCAGTAGTCCTTTGGTGCACCGTTGTGTCGTTGTGCCATGCTCGTGCCTTTTCGTGTTCGTGAACTTTGCAGTTCGGGTGTGCACATTCGTTGTAATCTTCTTCGTCGCATCTGATTCGTTGCGCGAGTCTTGTGAAGATAGATGGTTCGGATGCCTTAGAGCGAGTGGCGTTGTGCCATTCCCCAATTTTGGCGTGTTTGTGGATTTTGCATGTTTCCGAAAGACATCTCGTTAAAGAACCGTAATCATCGCGGCATTCAAGTGGCGTGCCGTAATCGGGTTCAATAACATGACTTGGTCGTTCGGGTAACGTTGATCGATTTTCCAGTAGTCCAGTTCCGTGCTTAGGTAGGGTTTCGAAAGTATTTGTCCGTCGAATCTGACTGGGAAAGCGTTGTGTCGTGCCTTCTTCTGGAAGTGTATCATGCAGTCCAAATAGACGCATGAGATCCATGAAATATGTTTGTGCTCTTCGTGACTGAGCACTGTTCTTGGGTCATCTGAAAATTCTCCTCGTGGTTGCCATTCTCGTTGTAGAGCTGTAAAGGTGTCGACCGCGGCGATAGCCACAGCGTAGTCTCCTCCGCGTGGTGCCGGTTGGTATCGAATCATCGCAGCTTGTTGGTTTTCCGTGAGAATTTGAGGTATTTGCTGGGTTCCAATTTTGAGCATCTCTTCGAATTCTTCGAAGTATGGGGCGTGTTCTCCAATCGTGGCGTTTTCCCTTAGTAGTGAGGGTGGTGGTGCGAGTTCGTTTTCGTCTTCTGTTTCTTCGGGTGTCTCTTGTTCTTCAGAGCTTGTGTCGACACTCCGTTGATCTTCTTCGGGTTGTTGTCCGAGTTTTGTGAGCATAAGGGCTGCGTCCGTGTCCTCTTTGTTATGTTGTTTGTAGACTGCCCGTCTTTGCTGTCGGTCTTTAATTCGCATGTCTTCCTGGAATCGTTTGCCGTTCTTCCTGATCCAGTCTTGTGAGACTCCTTCAGGATAGGGATATTCTGTCTCTGCAATTTGACTTGTTTCGGTGTCGTGGAATCCCTTCGTTGCATCATTGCAAGGGTTCTCTTTGGTGGTTTTGGAAACCATCCGGTACCTTGTTTGTCGCTTAGGTGTACCGTACATTTGTCGTCATAGCATGCAGTCCAGTTAAGGAGTTCATGCTTTGGTTCCTGTTTGTTAGTAGCGTTTAGGTGTTTACCTTACCTGGGGCTGGGGCCCAGTGGGTTTCTTCTCCTTGCGAGGTTGTCTGCATTCTTTGGAGTAATGTCAAGTTTCCCAGTTGAAACACTTTCCTTTGCTTTTTGGGTTGCGTCCAGGTCCATCCTGCCTGGGTTAGTTGTGTGGGCGTAGGCAATGGGAGTTTCGCGCTTCTTCTTGTAGTTGGCGCGTCGGTTGAAGTTGTTCCCATAGGAAGGGTTCCAGTTTCCTCTTCCTTGCTTCTTTTCTTGGCGTCGCGCATACTGTCTGTCGTCGATTCGTACTGCCATAGCAATGTAGTCCGAGAGGTTGTCAGGTCGATTTTCCTTGTAGAGCTCGTCCTTGACTTCTTCTTTAAGTCCGTCGTAGAATCGTGACATAAGGGTTCGTCGTCCCAATCAAGCTTTGAGGTGACTTGACGGAACTTCGCAGCATAATCCGATGCTGAGATCCTTTGTCGGAGTTCTCGAAGTTTCTGTTCGGCCTCTCGTTCCTCGTCGGTTGTTCCGAATACCTTCGTAATGGCTTCTTCGAATCCTTGAAACTGGCAAAGACGTCTGTCTCGTTATCTCGTCGCGCTAGTTGGTTGTCGAGAAAGTCCCTCATGATGGGTCCAAACCAGGCGAGTGCCGTTCAGATAAACAATTTCCTGCGTGGAGTACCTTCGACTGGGTCCGAGAGCTTGGTCGGATAGAATCGGTGGTAGGCTTTGAGTTGGGTGAGAAAGTCTCGAAGCGTGCCATGAGTACCGTCGAATGGTCCTGGCTGTTTTGGTTTGACTGCTTCTCCGATGTCCCTGACTTGTCCGTTGCCTCCTCCGTTCCTGAGCACTTGGACCTC